TAGGATTCAGTGTTGTAATGTAACATATTTCACCAGTTCTCTATTGATAAACATCTAGGTTTCCCCCATTTTTTTGCTATTACAAATAATGTAGCAATGAAAACTGGAACACACACACTTAAGAGTAATTTTTCTTTTTCTGTGAACAATCTTTTTCATGCTTTGTCTATTTTTTTCTATTTTATTGGTATTTTTCTTATTGATTTCTAGGTATTTATATATTAGAGAAATAAGTCATTTGTCTCTGATTTGAATTGCATTTTTTTCTTGTTTATCATTTGATTTTACTAATGATGCTTTTTGTCTTTGTCCTAATTCTAAAATTTCCCAGGAAGGGCTAACTGGATAAAGACACCTACTCTTGGTTAATTCACTGTGGCTGGGGAGGTAGAGTCATTTTTTAAAAAAATCCTGGAGTGCACTTTATGGAATGGGGGTAAGTAAAACTAAGGGGAAATTGTGAGTGAGGAAGTACCCTAAAAGGGGTCCACTACATTTCAATGTGTAAAGAACTGGGGATACGTCTTCTTGCCTAGGGAAAGAGGGCTCACAGCTTAGCAAAGATACACAACGACAAATAGTCACCATAGCAATCGGGTAAGAGAGGATATTATAAATTGCTGTGGGCATAGAGGAAGAAGCAGCTCATTATGTTTGGGGTATCTGGGAGAACTTTACAGGAGAAAAGGAATTTGAGCTGGGTTTGTAAAGACAGAAATAAGTGAAAATGAATGATTGCTGGCCAAGGGCTTAACATCATTGAAAGTAGGTTATATTGGGAGGTGTATGATGGTCACAAATGGAAGAGTAATGTGACTGACAGAAAGATGTCCCCAGGAATGGTTACGGGATGTAATATTTCCTTATTGGTAAATGATATGAAAGCTTAACACTTACATAAAGCTGGAGCTACCACAATATGCTTCTGGACTGAAGAGTGGCTTCCTGTAAAAATCCCCCACAAAGACAGAACTGTGGTTGCTATCATACCCACAGGATTCTCCCAGGCATGAGAAAGCTATCCTTGCCATTCTGCAGTTCTGGTTCTCCTAGGGTTTTTTGTTTGTTTTTAACCCTCTCTTTGCCAATCCCATTTCTACTTTCCCTGTCAACTTCAGAGACTGCCTCATGCCTGCCTACTCACTTATGGAGAAATTGGGTAAAACAAGGATAGATTTCTCAAGGGCATTCCTCGGTGTTTCTAGGCTTGAGGGTCTATTTGAAGTCCATTTCTGTAGGATTAGTGGCAGGATTTGGACGCATGGGCTGAGGGGCTGGGATTTTATCTTCAACCATATAAATGAGTGTTTCTTCCCAAAACATGTTATAAAATTTTATGCCCTGAGATGCTCTCCATGGATAATGATTTTTGTCAAGTAAATTTGGAAATATGTAACACTATTCCTTTTATAATGTACAATGTCATATTAAAATCTCTGAGAATTTATTCAAAGGACAGAATGCAATGAGAAGCCTTCCAGTTTAAAAGAAAATGTATAATTTGCCCTTCATTTGCATATTTTCTCATATAATGTTTCTTACAATTATGAGAAAAACTAAAGTAGTGGGGAGCTGTGAAGTTTCTGAGACACAGGCAGGTTCAGTTTTTCATGAAGTTTTCACTCAGCCTGCAATGGCCTCGTTCTCATTTTTTTGTTTCAGTTTGCTTATTTTTGTTATTTGTTTGCTTGCTTATTTTTTGGTATTGTTCTTTGGTTTCTCAATAGTAGGTTGACTTTTTTCTCCTCATTCTGCCCCCCACCCAGCTTTACTGAGGTACAATTGATAAAATTGTATATACTTATGTGTGTACAACGTGATTTAACATATACAGTGAAATGATTAACACATCCATCACCTTACATGGTTACCTCGTGGGTGCATGTGTGCATAGAATACTTAGGATCTATTCTCTTAGCAAATTTCAATTCTCAAAAGTTATCTTCTCTTGGTAGATGTTGTTTGTTAGTATTCTATTCCTTCCTCAGGATATTTGTTTCCTCATTTAAAAATTTTTTAAACACCACTTTATTGCCTGCCTTTTATAAATAATTGCACAAAAAATAATTTTTCTTCGTGATTGAGTCCACTAATAACTGCAAGTAATAACTACCTTCTATTGAGTCTTTACTTTTACATGGTTTCATTATTTTAATTAATCAGAAAGTGAATATAATGAATGCATTTGAGAGATGAGAGAATGAGTTTTAGAGGGCTTAAAGTAATTTTCCCAAAGTCACAGAGCTTGCAGCTCTTGTTGAGCGTGGTAAAGCAATCCTTTATGAAGTCCACTGATACTTATTTACTTTAGATAACAGCAATATTACCCACTATCCAGTTTCCACCAGATTTAAAGTTGAAAAACACAGGGGTTCCAGCATACATTGGTCCTACTTTCTTTTAATGAAGTTCTTTCAACAGTGCTATTCTAGGGGCACATGGGTGGATCCGTGGTTCTGTCTGACTTTTGATCTTAGCTCAGGTCTTGATCTTGGGGTCTTGATCTTGGGGTTGTGAGTTCGGGTCCCGTGTTGGGCTCCACGCTGGATGTGGAGCCTACTTAACAACAACAACAACAACAAAACAATGCTATTCTAAGTTTAGTTGGGAATGAAAACAAGTATTTATCAGCTACGATGTAGAGGAGGAAAAAATCCTGAGACAGATTTTCTTTGATTTGCCATATGCTGTGTTATAGAGTAATGCTCACTCATTCTTTTATTCAGCAAATATCCATGGAGTGTTTTGTACAAGGCTCTGAGTTTGGCAGTGAGGAATAAAAGATTGAATGGGAAGTGGAAACTATCTTCAAGGAACTGATGAACTACTAAAGGAAATTATAAATATGTAAATAATTATAATTAAGCAGAATGCTCTGAGTCAAAATCAAAGTATAGGAATGTGAAAGCAGAGATTAGTTTTGATTGGGAGGAAATCATACTTATGTTCTAAACATAAACATCAACAAGCAGGTTTAGTATTTAGCCATTAAATAGGCCAAAGATGGCTTTAGACAAATATAAAAGGTTTATTTATGATGCATTGGCCATTTTATAAAAATCCAAGACATTTTCTAAAACAGAAACTATTATTTCCTTAAAGGCCATCTTTCATATAAAGAAATGGCAGGGCTCATCTTATTTATAGTATTAGGTTATAGGCATTTTATCATTCTTCAGATTCATCTGGCATTTTAGAGAATTAAATATTTTAACTAATTAATTGTAATGTAACCAATTGGAAGATTACAGAGAGCAGAGTGTGATCAAGAGTAGCAATTTGGCATTTAAGGTACATCAAGATAATCATTCAAAGATTCTTAAATTTCTTTTTTTTTAAAGATTTTATTTATTTATTTGACACAGAGAGATGCAGCAAGAGAGGGAACACAAGCAAGGGGGAGTGGGAGAGGGAATGGGAGAGGGAGAGTGGGAGAGGGAGAGGGAGAGTGGGAGAGGGAGAAGAGCAAGGAGCCTGATATGGGGCTTGATCCCAGGACCCTAGGATCATGACCTGAGCCGAAGACGCTTAACGACTGAGCCACCCAGGTGCCCCTTAAATTTCTTCTTTGAAATTAATATATGATATTGAATGAGAATGAGCATGATAAACAATCTATTTATCCAATGTTTTAACCCAATGCTGATGTCTCACCTTTTGAAAGATGTGTTGTACTTTTCCTATTGGCTTAGAATTTAAACCAATAAGGAAGGAGAACATTTTTATAAATATTCACAAAGGAAAGCTGGCATTGTGAATGTCGAGTAAAGATTGCTTTGTTCTTCATTTAAGTCTGACTTTCAGAATTTTGTAATAATGTAATATCAATATTTTTCTTTTATTGGTGTACTAAGCACTCGTTTTTTAAAAATTCAGGCTGGATGATGTCTTGGCTTCAAATATATTTTCCCAATGTTAAGAACACTTTCTTATTGTTCAGACAAGAAGTGATGAATCTTTAAAATGTTCAAAGGAAAATCAAGAATTTAAATGTATTTTTATTACCATGGTGAACATATTTCATACGAACAAAATTGATACTAATTTGCTAGATTTGTTTGAAGTTCATAATTACTAGGGTTCTTTCATTTCTAAAGTGGCATATATCACTGTTATTAGTCTCTTTTAATTGCTGTTCAGAGGCAGAGTTAATGTTAGGTTCTCAGCAATAGCTATTTATATCTTGATATTCTGTGTACTTTATTAAAATTTTTGTTTTGAAATTTAATAAAAACGTTAGTAAAGGTTTTTGTATTGTAATTTCTTAATATTGGGACTCAAGGATCTCTAATAATACAAAAAAAATACAAAAGAAAAAAAAACCTTTGTATTTTTGTGTATAGTTGGTTTCATTAGAAAATTTACCATCCTGAGGTGTCTGCTTAAAAATTTCTGATTCTAAAAAAACCCCACTAGAATGTTTTCATTGAGTGTGAGTAGGTATTCCAGTTAGACCCAAATGAAGATAAAAATCCACTTGAACTTATCCCAAATTTCCACTCAGTTTAAAGCAATTACTACAACACGGACAGTCTGTCTTTTGGACGCAAAGAAATACTTTGTCAGGACGCTATTTTGTTTCTCTATGAAAAACAATGAAGGTGGAATAAAAAGTAATTGCAAAGGGAGTAGAACAGAGGAGAAAAAAAAAAAAAAGGATCAGCAAGACCACCATCACCACCAGAAAGCAAGGGTGAAAAATTCATGCACCTGAAAACATTGATTTCACGTCAGAACACGGAAAAAACCAACTAAAGAAAGCAGACTTTAGGGGAAGAAACGGAGCAGGCGTAGGAGAAGGGCTAACAGTTAAGTGATCGCAAAAGGGAAGAAAACCTCGTTGCTTTTTCTTGGTATCTGAAAACCGAAGCTCTAACTGGAGGGCAGAGGTCAGTGCCTGCAGCGCCGCATTGCAAACAAACCCACGGTTTGGTGCTTCCGCAAGCGTGGTCGGACCGACGTGGGCAGCGCTGGTTGGGAGCCGACAGTCTCCGTCCCGGCCGCGGCCGCCGTCAACTCCTTTGTCTCCCGCCGGCGAGGCGGCCGGCGCGCCCGGAAACCTCCGCGGGCAACGCCGCGCGCGCAACTGCCGGGTTCGCGCGCCCGTCGCCGCGGCCCTGCACGCCCCGAGTCTACAGCCCAGTGAGGCAATGCTGAGGCGGTCTAGCTCGCCCCGCCGTTCCTCCCAACTTGCCGCCGGGACCCGCGCGCTGGCGGGCCCGCCCCGGCTCTTATTTCCTCCCACGCCTCGACCAGTACTGAGTACGACCCTGTGTTTCTGTTTTGCTTTTTGGGTTGGGAGGGTGCAGAGGGCTAGAAACAGCCGTGGTTTCCCGCGCCCTTTACTTCGGCAAAAATTTGGGGCCCCTTATTGATAACGTTCACGGGCTCCAAACAGCTCCCGCCTTCCCCGAAAACTCGACACACTGAAAAGGGCTTGCTCCTCCCTGTGGCCGCTCCACCAGGAAAGGGGGAAACAGGATTTCGGGGGAGCTTTTTGGTGGTGGTGGTGGTGGTGGTGGTGGTGGTGGAGGGACGGGTCCGATGCGGCAGAATCGGCCAGGCCCGGACTCGCTCTCCTGAGGGAGCGGGAGAGGCGGGAGCGCCCGCGGGCCCGGTCTCCGGAGCCGGCCCCGCGGGGCGGGCCGACGCGCCATGGCGGAGCTCGGGGACGAACCAGAGGTCGCGGCGGGGAGCCGGCTGGTGTGGGGGAGGCGGAGGGCGGTGAGCCACCTGAACGACGTGGCAGCCATTCCCTACTTCCCGAGACCCCTCCCCATTCGGCCGCCCACCCGCCCTCTCGCGGCTGGCGGCGGCGAGGCTGCTCTTCCCGGGCCGGACAGAGAGCGGCAGTGTCTCCCCGCCCGGCACTCGCCGCGCGTGTCTCCCCCCCCATACCCCCCCCCGCGGCCGCCGCTGCTCGCCAGCCCAGCGCCGCGCCGGAGAGCGCAGTGGCGGCGGCGGGAAAGGGCTGCGGACTCGCGGCGCCGCGTCGCGCACTCGACGACGCGGCCCCGGCCTCGACGCCCTCCACCCGCTCTCGGAGCAGGTAAAGGCAGCGGGTGGTAGGCGGGGCGGCGGGTCCGGGAGGGAAGGGATCCCGGGGCCCCGAGCCGAAGCGAAGGGCCTGAGGCAGCGGCGGGCGGCGCTACGACCGAAGCCCAAGTCCCCGAACGTGGGGGCCGGCGCGGGCCGCTTCCAGTCCGGCCCGCGGGCCTGGCCGCCTGGACGGAAGGGAAGTGAGGCGTCGGTGAGAGGCGGGTCCTGGCGTGCCGCCCGAGGCCGGGCGAAGGCGGGGGCCGCGGCCGCTTGCCCGGCCTCCCAGTCCCGGGCGGGCCTCCAGGCCCCAGACACACCCCTCTCGACCCCCCGGAGCTGCTTCCCTGTCGGTTCCCGCCGGGACTTGACCTTGTGCCCCTCCGAGCACCTTCGGCGTTTCCCAGGCGGAGCCTTCTCGGAACTTCGGGCCACCCTCCCGAGCACGTAGTCCTAGCAAAGCCGTTTATTTACTCACTTCTTCATATCCAAACACAGCCTCTCACTCCACACGTTCCGATTTTGGATACTGTGGGGAGACATCCCGGGTCCCTGGTATTTGTGCCTCTTTGACCCTCGTCCGCACCCCCTCCCCCACCGCAACTTTGATCCTCTCTGGGACCTTGCTTGAACCCTTCTGTCATCCGGACCTTCTCCGAGATGTTCGTTTGGAAATCCGTCCTCGATAGAGTGAGTCATCTGACCGGGGGCACAGTTTATTCCTTAGGCTCTTTTGATTAAAACAGTCAACACTACCCACCCCCCGCTTCAGAGAGCTAGAGTAATAAAGTGTAGATGCCAGATCACGCTTGGTGTGGCTTATAAAGAATCTTCCTTTTCGCAACAGCCTTTAGAACTAGGAATCTGGTATTTGTAGCAGGGACAGGTTTGTACACATTCTCGCCATGCAGTGGTTGTAATGTCTCCATAGCGCAGTTCCGACTTGAGGGCAGGATTGGCTGGTTTTTCTACTCAACATCTTTAAGCCAATCAAGAAGCGCTGCTTGCCTGGAGACTGGTTAACTCAGAAAAGGTGGGGATTGGTTGAGCGCAGAGAAGAAAATCCTGGTGATCAACCTGGTCTCTGGGAAAACAATGACTGTTGTGCAGATGCCTCTCTTCTCTCACTTTTTTTTTTAATGTTATCTTTTCATCCCAGCATCAGCTTTTTCGTTCCGTTTTTATTATTTTTTCTTTCAAACACCCAGCTCTCTTTTGTAACTCGTTTGAACCATCTTTCAATTTTCAATGAAAGAATCCTTACACACTTTAAGAAATGTAAACGTCATGTGTTTTGATGCTTGGCTTGTTCAGTTTTCTAACACTGTTCGTTTTTAAAGGTCAGAATTTAAATCAATAATTTTTAGTTTCTATGCTAGATAGAGCCTTTATCATTTAAGTGGTTCTGCCAGAATAAGGGGGCTGCAGTGGTGGAGATGGTGGGAAGAATAGGGAAGAAATGGCTGCTTTTGTATGAGGAGCCTACAATTTAGTTCATGAAAAAAGACTAGTATATTAATGGAAAAAAAAAAAAAGTGCAAAATCCCAGTGCAGAAACCCAGCATACAGTACTGACGAATGTCAGTTTGTGTACCTGTTGACTTTAATAGCTTTTAGGGGAAGAGTAAAGAGGACCAAGTGTTGGACTAAATAGAAAAAGTGGGCTTAGGTTATCAGAAGAATATTTTTCCTTTATTGAAGTGGGTTTAGTACCTTGTACACAGTAGAGGCTAAGTAAATATCAGTGTAGGTGCATATTTTTTTTAACAATATCTGAGGATTTTCCTTCTTTTAGAATCTCCTTTTCTGTCTTCAGGATTATCCATGGTTGTGCTTGTCTTTTGATATGCAAAACAGTAACCATTTATTAGTCAATGTGAATTTTGGGAAACAGCTATCATTTTTGCCTTTCTTCCCTTCAGTTTTTTATATGCAAACTCATGCTGTCAGTCTTGTGAAGAATATGTCAGGCCAGATATTGAATCTTAATAGATCCCTATTAAATGCCTTCAGAAGTAGTTTTAGGAATTAAAGAAGAGATTGACATTTTATTTATTTATTTATTTTTGAGATTGACATTTTAAAAAATATTTACCATGCCAGGCAGTGAATAAGTCAGAAGTCATTATCGGCCTAATCACCTTCATCCTTATAGTAATAAAAGTGGCCACCACATATCTGTTTATGTATGTGCATACATATATATATGTATATATGCATGTGTGTGTGTATATATGTATGTATGCCAGGCACTGTTTTAAGCACTGTATATATGCTGCTGTATTTAATTTTCACAGTTCTATGAGATTTGCACTATTATTGGTACTGTTTCACAGATGAGGAGACAGACAATATGAGAAATGTGAAGAAAGTTGTCCCAATATAAGCCAGCTGGTATTTAGCAGAGCCAGGATTCAGTCAATTCTGGATCTTTGTGACCCAGAACCTTACTCTTAGCATATTCTTTTTGTGGCCCTCTGAAACAAAACCTTTGATATCAAGTAAATCATGACATTTCCAAATATCTACCATTCCTCCCATCAGTTGTAAGATGGATTATTTTATGTACCTCTACAAAACCAAAAAAAACTCCAAGTAACTGTGATATGCCATTGATTTTAGGATGGTCCTTACTGCAGAAATGTAAAAGTGTCTTAAAATTGATGAAATAAGGTATATTAGTTTGTCACATAAACATTTTTTCCTTCTACATTACAGTTCAATTTACTTATGTAAGATCATATACAGATTTTTTTTTTTAAATCATATACAGATTTTAACATTACTCTGAATTTTGGTTTATTGAATTTACTTTTAAGTAAGTACCTTCCTACCCACTGTACTAAAGTTTTAAAATATGTCTAGGTGGGCAGACTGTTGGAAGAATCTCAGCCTTGTTCTCCAGAAACTATTTTAGTAGTATGTCTAGATTCAGGTTAATTAATTTGTGCTATCCAAACTCACATAACTTTGAAAATTGAAAAAAATCATTTCATTAATTTCCATGGAGGAAGAAACTAGCTATGCCAGCTAGGTTTTTATGACTATTAGTGCAATTAGTAGCAGGAAGAACCTACATGTTGCACTTGGCTGAGCACTGGCTCTGGGTCTATCAATTCCGCTAAACCTCACTAGACTGATGGTGGACACTATTTTTCTAAACATGGATTGTTCATATCCTTTGATCATCTGTTACATCTGTTTCTCTTAAAATTTTGAGAATGGTCCAAATATATGGTTATTAGTGTCTTTTTTCTTGAAAATATTTTTCTCTAGCTTGTTGTTTTACTTTTTGGTTATTTTATTTGTCAGAAGTTTAAAATGTTCATACATGAATCCATCGTTCTTTTCCTTTGTTATTGCTTCATATTTCCAAATTAAAAAATTTCATTGTTCTACAGATGTGATAATCAGTTTTTTCTAATATTTCTAAGATTAACTTTGTAATCAATTTAGGATAAATTCTAAGCATAAATTTATAATTCTAAGGTGATACCACCTTAATTGTTTTACAAATTACTATTAAATCATTTTATCACTATTAAAAACTTTAATCTCGGGCGCCTGGGTGGCTCAATTGGTTAAGCGACTGCCTTCGGCTCGGGTCATGATCTCGGAGTCCCGGGATCGAGTCCCATATCGGGCTCCCTGCTCGGCGGGGGGTCTGCTTCTCCCTCTGCCCTCTTCCCTCTCGTGCTCTCTCTCATTCTCTCTCAAATAAATAAATAAAATCTTTAAAAAAAAAAACAAAACAAAAACTTTAATCTTCTTGTTTTGGAAAGCCTATCTTATTACATGTAAATTTTGAGATATAGTTAGGACTTTTTCTGGACTCTTGATTTCTTACAATAGTTCCTCAATCTTTTATTGAATTTTTGTGACTGTACCATTTCATAATGCATAATATGCATTAGTTTGTTTTTCAGTGGGCTCCATGCTCAGCATGGAGCTCAATGTGGGGCCTGAACTCAAAACCCTGAGATCAAGACCTGAGCAGAGATCAGGACCTGAGCTGAGATCAAGAGTTGGTCGCTTAACAGACTGAGCTACCCAGGCACCCCTCAATAATATGCAGTAGTATTTAGGGGCATCTGGGTGTCTCAGTTGGTTAAGCGACTGCCTTCGGCTCAGGTCATGATCCTGGAGTCCCAGGATGGAGTCCTGCATCGGGCTCCCTGCTCAGTGGGGAGTCTGCTTCTCCCTCTGACCCTCCCCCCTCTCATGTG